TCTGTGGAGGTACACCCCTCCTAAATCTGGGGCAATCCCTCACCATATGGCGAGTGTCGCCACACTCAAAACAAGCTTTGGGAGGGTGTGACTGATGTGACTGGCTCGGGCCAAGTCTGCTGGACTAGCTGCTAGGAACACCCCGTGCAGGAGGCACACTAGATACTGGCGATGCATAATAAGGCTCCTGGGGTCTAGAAGGAGCTGGAACACCACTGGAGGCTGGAAGAGCTGAATGAACGGGGCTATTCACATAACCCCTACCATGGCGAGCTGTTGGGACACGAGCTCCAGAATAATAACCAGTCTCTCGAGACCTCTTGGCCTCCCTCTCCTCTCTATCCCGGACAAACATGCCCTCAAATCTCCTGGCAATACTCATAATCTGCTGATAAGAAATATCCATCTCCAACTCCCTGGCCATACTACTCCGGATGCTGGGATGGAGTCCCTCAATAAGCTGTCGAACTCTCTCTCGAACTGTGGCAACTAAGACCGGTGCATGTCGAGCCAAATCACTGAAGCAGATTGCATACTCTGACACAGTCATACCACCCTGGCGCAGCTGCTCAAACTCCGTGTGCCATGAGTCCTTGAGGCTCGAAGGAACATACTCTCTAAAAAAATAGTAAACGACTGATCGGGTCGAGGGAAACAGAAAAAGGTACGAGGGAAACAGTAAACAGGGGATCGAGGCTATTACTCTCAAAACGACTGATCGGGTCGTTACACATATAAACGAGGGTTTCATCTCATTTTTCATTTTTGGACCTGGAGAGCTCGGTTTGGGCGATTTTTCGTGAATTGTTCAAGAAATTCACTAGGTAAGTGATTCTAACTTGGATTTGGTTAATATATATGAATATATCATTGTTTTCATCATTCAATTAGCATTTTGAGACGGAAATTTGAGAAAAATTATAGAAACTTCATAAACTAAAATTTTAGGATTCGAAGGGCAATCCGATGTCAGAATTCAATAATTTTTGTATGGTTGAACTCGTATCAGAACGGGTGTTCGGATTTCATGATTTTTTGTCGGGTTCCGAAAAGTGGGTCCCACATTGAATTTTTGGTTGACTTTTCCAAAAATGACTTAAATTAAGTCTCTTTCGAATTGTGAATAATTTCTAAAGCTAAAATTGAATTATTGGTAAATAATTTGCTAGGTTTGATTGGTTTGGAGAATAATTCGAAAGGAAAAGTTGTGGTCCCGTGATCATTTGAAATTGTGGAACAAGGTAAGTGTCGTGGTTAACCTTGACTTGAGGGAATAGAACCCTTGAATTATTTGTTAAGTGAATTTCATGTGTAATGTCATGGGCTGTTTTCCATTATCGATCCATGACCCCTTGGACGTGCCTCATGGTGACCTGATAAGCCTCCCAATGCCTAGCGCCATGGTCGACCTCGTAGTCTCGGCAGCGCCAAGTGACAAGCGTGCATGTGCCTTTGTCGCCCCACTGATAATCCTTGCCAGCGCACAGCAGCTGGCGAATGCCAACAGTGCCGCGGGCACAAACAATACCACGTTCACAGACCATCATGTTGCCAATAGCGACGCACGAAAGACAGTGCCGCGCGTGCAGATCTGATGCCAAGCGCCCAGCCGTAAGCAGATCCAAATAGTGTCGCGCGCGCTGACAACAATGCGCGCGCAAGCCCTGAAGCTCAAGACAAAGTTGTTGCCATCAGACTTGCTTCTACCTTGTAGAAAACTAAGTCCTTCTCATTGTAATTATAGAGTAGTTTTACTTCATTTTATTTCAGTGTGCTTCTACAACTTTCATAGGTCAACTCATGTAACTTTGGTTTATTTTTTTTAAGCATTATTAAGGGGGAGCAAAGCATTCAAATATTCAAGCAAGCAAACATTTCTCTGTACTGGTGTTTCTCC